CTTAGTAGTCATCGTTAGCCAAGACTTAAAGACTACTGCACACTGCCGTGCAGTGGCCGCCAAAGGTTTTAGAACCTTATGGTCAATACGTAGAGCCTTTAGTCATGTCGACTCCAAAACGTTTTTGACTTTGTATACAGTGTTCGGTCGTCCTAAACTTGAGTACTGCATAAAGGCGGCTAGCCCCTGCTTAAAAAAAGACAGTGAGCTTCTGGAAAAGGTTCAGAGAACGGCGACTAAGCTGATTCCCGGAATAGCGAAGCTTCCGTATGAAGTTCGACTGGCCAAACTGAACCTTTTCCCGTTGTCATATCACAGAACTAGGGGCGACTTGATTACAGTTTTCAAATTGCTTAGTGCCAAATTTGCACCTGATATGCCCTCATTTTTTTTTGTCTTCCAAAAGAGAATTTACGAGGACACTCAAAAAAAGTTCATAAGCCGAGAACAAATTACTTGTCAGCTGAATATCCACTTTCCATCGAATCATCAACGAGTGGAATTCACTACCTCAGCACGTGGTTGAGGCTCCATCCGTAGACTCTTTCAAAAGAAAGTTGGACCAACTGAGAGACCACCATTGCCACGACTAACATAGGCCATCGAGCCTCCTGTCCTTCCAAACTGAAAAGGAAGCTTTTCCTTCCACAGTGTGGGCAACCGAGAAGTGACAACCGCTCTCATACCTCTAACAACACTCAAGACCGTTGTATTCATAATCAACCTCCGTCTTCACTACCTATTTTTCCTCCTACATCGACTTTCAACTCTAAACTTCCTCTTTCAGGTTTCTCCTCAAGTGTCACCATAGCCAAAAATTCTAGTGCACAAAACACTGTTCCAGGTCTACTTAAACCTCGCTCCAAACTACACATTGGAGCCATCAACGTACGCACCCTATGTCAAATCGGTCAGCAGGCTTCCTTGGCTAAAACCCTAGAATCTCGTACCATTGATGTATGCTGTGTCTCCAAAACACGAATACACGATCCCAGTGTAGTCATTTACTTGACCTCACCTCGGGGAAACAGAGAGCCAGCAAGATACACCCTCCGTGTATCTGGTGACGCGATGGCCAGATCTCGTGGACTAGAAGGTGTGGAGACGGCACTAAGCCTTAGGGTAGAATATGCACTGTTAGAGTAGATCCCCGTTTATGTGCTGTTCCGCTAAAAGGTGCCATAAGAATTCGGAAGGATAGGGACACACGTAATTGCCATTTTGTCGTTTCTGCCTACGCTCCCACTGACTGCAGCTCGTATGAAGTGAGAGATGAATTTTACAGAAAGCTTTCTGAACTTCTTCACAAAGCTAAACGCTCAGACATAGTACTCGTAGCAGGTGACCTTATGGCCCAAGTAGGTAGCTTAAGCCAAAGAGAAAGACATTAGGGTGGGTATTATAGTATTCCATCACAACGAACTAATAATGGTGATCGTACGCTGCTGCTGTGCTCAGACAATCTTTCAATTTTAGCACACACAAATTTTAAGCATAAGGAGAGACACCTATTCACGTTGTCTGTAGAGTTAGCCCTTGAAATTCAGTAATTGACTTGTCTTCTTCATACTTGACTTATTTTTCCGGTCATATAGTCTTGTGAGTTGCTCAATGTTTTATTTTTCTTATCCTAAAATAATTTTTTTACAATTATATACTTTTTCATATCCTTTGATTTGCTATTAGTTCTTACTTTCTTCAAACCATTGGTTATCTTCATAGCAGTGTGATATACTAAATGGACATCTAACCCATAATAAAAATTCTTTAACTATGGCTTAGTGGGATGTCACGAACTTAAGGTATTAATGCTGATTTATCATGCAAAATACCTCATTAAATTGTGTTACGAACGTTGAATTGGCTTCACTTCCTACCCAGTAATCGTATTACAAGCAAACTAGACGATTCACTAGTATACGAAGCCTACTCAAGACCCTATGATACCTAAAAAGAAATAATAATAATACGAAAAAATGAAAAGGGCTCCGAAAGCTTAGATAAAAGAAAGGAAGATAGCCAATTGTGTATCACAATACTGTTTTTAGCACTTTATTTCATAACTACACATAATCCCATACTCTCAGCTTCTTTCTGAATCTCCTCCATTTGTCAGTTACATGTTCATTCATACCTCGTTTACACTTATTTTCTTTGACCTATTAGAATGCTCTTGCTTTGTAAATACTCTAATAAAAGAAAATTAGACTGGGTAATCATACCTCAAACATTCTTTCATGAATATTGGTGACTCTGCCTCTCGTCTTTTCTTTACTTGCTACTTCTCTCAGCCCCCTAGAGATGTGGAACGGGTGATTTCAACCTGCACCATCCTTAAAGCCTTAGATATTCCAAAGTGATATAAGATTGCAATTTCTATAAGCTCACACCTTCAATGGATCTATCCTTGACCATCATTTGCATGAAGCGCCAACTGTTATACTGACTACAACCATTTACATTTCATATCTTATAAATTATCAACCCAGCTGAGTAATTTACTACAGTGGATATCATATCATTTGTAACAATTTGATCTTGCCTGTAAACTGGCATGCCTCATGTAGCAAACGGTTATTTGAGAATAAATCATTATTATCACTGCCTTAATTCACACTAAAGAGTAACGGAATAAAACAAATCAAGTAGGATAATGAATTTTGAATATACATGTTTCGTACAACTCTTGATCTGGAGAGATACACAGAATGGAAAGCAAGAGATCAAAGAGAAGAGGGTAAGGTAAGGAAGCCAACCCGATTTCTTCAATGAGCTACTTGATATTTATAGTCAGACAAAAATAGGTTATAGGTATGTGATGTCTGTGATAGGTACTGCACACACACACGCTTGTAAAAACAGACAGAGCTAATAAGCGATAAGTAAAGAAGGTCAAAATGTGACTTGAATCGTATGAATAAGTCAGTATGTCCAGGAGAAAAAAATAACTCATATGGGCTTGACAGTGCCGAATACCATAGGTCCCTGCGCGCTGCATCCTGAACGTGAGGCAGGCTTTGCCGTAGCCTGATGACATGCCTACTCAATTAATTTCAATCTATAGTGGCAGACCGGTTTTTGTTACCAACTACGGTTTAATTGCTTTAAAACTGCGTTAATCTTGCTAATTTAACCGAAAGAAAAGTTGAATAGATGCGTAGTGAATTGTGGATATTTGTTATTAAGCTATTATTATTAGGCTTTTCTGTACAATAGGTAATCTTGAAGTTTCTCGAACATGTTATTGGGGAAAACCGAAAGTAGTACAGAATGTCCACTAAATGAGAAAAAATATTGGGGTTCATTCGTAGAATGCAGATGGACTTGCCCAAAATGTTTCGAGGTTCTGGATAAATATTGAGGAAAGCCCAAAATCGTCGAGGATTTCCCCAGACCTGGGGAAATTTCATGATTTTGTGCTATTTTCCAGAATTTTCTATGGTGGCCTCTCCAGAATGGACAGAATTTTCCCTAAAATAGGGAGATTGGGAAGTTTCTAGGAAGCATGTAGAAAGTAAAGAGTCACGTTTTCGATTGGATGATTAGTAGGGTTCCATAACATTTCAGGAGCCAAAGACCGCTCGAAATGCTATAAGTACCCTAGATATTTCGCACATAAACTACCTTTGGAGTAAAGCGTTTTTTTCATGTTGCGCACCTTTTCTCTCCTGTTCACGTTGTCTGTAGAGTTAGCCTGGAGTAATTAGAAGAGCGTTCAGTCAGATGGTTTATCATAACCTTAGAATCCTACTAGGTAACTCACTTCAAGCTAAACTGGCCCCTTATGCCAAAATAAAGAGGCTCACTCATGACTTACAGAGAAAACCAATAATGATGAAGTAGATTATGAAAGTAACTTTGCATTAAAAATTCACTTATGTATCCAAACACTCAATTGCTTTACGACATTTCAGATGTCTAAGTAAACCTAAATTACCTCCGTTCTTTTAAATCTGCTCCTTTCATATAGTCCTATGTTTATTTGTGGCCATATTATTTGCATTATTTCTTCAGTTTGTCATAGAAAACTTGTGTAACAGTCGATCGAACAACAGAAAATAAGCCGGACTTATCAAACCTTTATTTCCCCATTACAAATGATCAAGCCTCCTTGGTAATGTGCAATGTCTGCTCGTATGCTTGTTCTTTTTCTTTTCTTCCTATCTTCTTCAGTATTGTTTTACAACACTGAGGATACATATGCGGAGCATATGGATCCATCCGACGCCTCATTAATACTTCTAATATGTTACAAATAACTAGAATTTGTCATACCGAAAGCCTATTACAGAAGTTATCTAGAGAACACTAATAGGAAGCACCAAGTGTGTTAAAAATGGCATTTTTAACTTAAATTCATGAATTTACAGCAATATTCCGCATCGTAAACAACAGAGTTAATGTAGATAAAACTAACAATAATGGACGTTTCATTTGAAAGTCAACATGGAGTATGGGTGGACCCAAAGTTGTCTAGTTGGCAAACTGCGCTTAGCTGAGTGCCTCAGGGCACAGCTTTGCGGCTAGTGTTGTTCCTTTTTTATGTAAGTGACCTTCCTCGTCTAATATCATCATCGGTCTTGCTAACTGCTGATGATGTTAAGACATGGAGAGCGATAAAAGATAAAGATGATAGTTTAGAGCTCAAAAATGACTCGGAGAAATTATCTGACTGGTTCAAAATTTGGCATTTGCCGATAAGTGCTTACAAGTTCATCATGTTGGTCACTAAAGTACAGGTACATACAGGGTGAATGATAGTGAGCTTCCTGTTAACCATAGATACAATCACATAGGAATCATTGTTGGCCAAGACTTAGAAACTACTCCAATTGCTGTGCGATAGGCAGACATTTCCTTGCTAACGTATATAAGCAGTTCATAGAGTTGCATGTCATTTTATTTGCTAGTATTACATTGTTTTGAGGGTGTCATGCGATATTCAACAAAGCTAGTATAAAGGCAACATTACAATGAACAATTACTCAAAAACAGACGCAATGTTTGCCCTAAAAAAGGACAGCACACTTGAAGAAATTTTAAACAACTCTTCTGATTATTTAAATGTGAATAAACTACTTGATTATGCGGATACTACAAGTTCGTGTAAGCTAACACACTCAACCAACAAAGAGACCTTCAGATATGGCATATCCGCCCTGAACACAGCCACTCAAGGTCGTGGAGGCAGATTCGACCTGGTACTATTTGTTTCGGTTGTCAGATTGTCTTAACATTATGTTTGTGTTATTTCTGATGCTTGTTAATCGCTTACTCAAGCTATCTCTTTTTTCTCCCAAAGGAACCCACTTACTGTTACGAACACGTCCCAGATAAGGTATCTTTAGTCTAGACGCCAACCCACCATAGGCTGTGTTGCATAAGGTTTTCACTCGTCCCGTCGTTTGACTCAATTACGGTGGGATTAATCGACACGTGGGGCTGCAATCTAAATTGAAGATTCCATTTATCAATGATCGGATGGGGAATTCGGCTGGGAAGTAATTTGCTATGACCTGTGAGACTTTTGATTGTCCTCGTAAATTATTCTAAAAGTCACTTTGAGTTAGAGACAGGTTAGAACATGTACATATTTTTGACAAAATGTGTGGGTTCCTTCAGTACATTGAGATGTATTTCACAAGTTCCCATTGTGAGACTAATTTATGGACAACCTGAGCGACTCTAGACTGACCTTAAGAGTGTCCACCTAATATCTAGGACCAAATGAGGGTTATAAACCTGTGTAAGGAATTAAAATTATGTTTTGCAGTTGGTGATTAAGGTTAAAAATTAAATTTAGGGTCCTCATCGCGAACCGACATCAGCTGTAATGCCAAAACTCTATTTAAGTAAATGAATGAGTGAGTTTCACGTTAAAATCCGAGACCTATTATCTTATACCTGATTAGTTCGTTCATAAATCATCATCTCATCGCTACCATACTTTGTCAGTAAACTGTCCAATCTATGTATGAAAACAGACATTTTCGGCAATATAAAGTCATCAATAAATAGTGCCTCATACTCCTCCCTGGAATTTCTTACATTTTACTAACTTTCGTGTATAAATTCTCTCAGGCCGTTTTCAGGGACTTTCGGTTCACGCGTTCAACCTGTTGAGCACACACATGAGTCGACGCACCGATAAATCATGCTCTAAGTGTTATCTACTTCAGGAATAAATAGCTATCATTCCATCATCCAGTTACACTGAAGATGTCGATCTTTAGTCAAAGTTAGTGTGTGACTTCTCACTTAGTTTGTGTGTTGTGTGAAGCTTTGAATACAACTGGTGCTGAATAGTGTTTACTAGCTATGCCTCATATTAGCTTTCTTTTGTTTTCTGTCGTTTAGACTGTCCACTTTTGGCTACAAGGTCGCATACTTTGGTCCCTGGCCGAATACCTAATAACATAAACTGCCACTACACCTTGAAATGCTTTCTAAGACACTTTTGAAGAGTAATCATAGTACGTTATTTTTTTTATATACCTTGATAAAATTTTTACTACCAGCGCGTGTTTATATTTCGAAAGTTTATTTCACGTTCTTATAGGTGGTTATCTTTACTCACTAATTTGTTCTACTGACAGTTGTAAAGTCCAATTTTGAGCATAAGATCTGTATACTTTTCCTATCCCTTCATATGTTTTTCATGCCCCAACAGCTGTCGTGAACATAATATATAAACATAATGCACACGGTCATAGTTCACTGGGATCAGTGAGAATCCACAGAACTTTAAAATCGCACCCTAAATTCATGGAAAGATTAAATGAATGTTAGACATCGCTGCAATGGCTCCGGTCTTATACTGTCTCACAAACTACAGTTTGAAACTTCTTGAATTCACTAGGACAGTCACTTTGTTTAGGATTGAATATTTGAATCTCAAAATCTTTTTATAGAAAGTGAAGCAAACTATTGAAAATGATTGTATGAATACCACAAATTTACCTAGAACATTTGTAGTTCAAATAAACGATTTCGTAGTAGTTTACTTAAGATTAAATTCCAAGATGCTCGAATGTATTTTTGCTTGCACCTCCCTTCCCCTATATTTCACAACTCTATTTCATTATTTGTGACACATACTTACCTTTGGTGCCCAGTTGTCCCGGTATCTATATCCTTACCTGTTACTCCTGATGGGGCACCAATAATCTCCAACCAACTCTGTTTTTAGCTCTTCGGTCCAACTGTTGTCAAGTGCTACTCGTAGTCTTGACGTCCACCCCCAGACTTCAGTGACATATCCTTTGATCTGCCCCCTTTCCTTTCGCCTTAGAGATTTCAAGTTAGTGCTTGCTTTGTGGTGCAGTTCAGTAATTTCCGTAAAGTGCGTCCTATTCGCCTCGAGCGTTTTTCTGATTTCCTCAGTTGAAAGATCGTTTCTTTACCTGGGAGTGTTGGTTATTACTGATGATCTTTGGCTAATGGTTTGAAGTATTTTATGTAAACAGCTGTTTGTATATACCTTTAATATTTTGGTTGTGATGATGGTAGTTTCATCTTCATACAATCGAACTGTTTTAACGCTACTGTTTAGAATCCTAACTTCAGTCTTGAGTGACAGTTGTTTAGAGTTCTAGATATTCTTTGATTGTAACAATGCTTTGTTAATTCGTGCTTTGGCATTACTAGATCCTCCTTGTTTAGGAATGGATTTCACTAATCTCTGTTACGTAGGATTTTAATCTGCTCACAAATGACAAGTATACTATACGTAAACACTTCCTTGCAATCGAGGATGGGATAGATAGAAGACGTGCGTAGATCAATAGTATCTAACCAAGGACTTCTCCAAAACATTGTTGGTGCATGGTGCAATAATCGAACTAGTAATACTGAGGTCAGACATAGTTTACTAAGGAAGTGTAAACTGGTTCTTTATTGACTGAAATAGTTACAACACATGTTAGAAGTTACCTTTTTTGATTTCGATATTTTCCAGTCATAAAGTGTTAATCATTTTGTTGTTCTTATTCAGAGTGTTGGGAGATATATTTTAATACATTATTGCGGTTTTAGAAACATTTTTGTTCCTCAGGAAAAATATTATTACAAATGGATCTGAGAAAAACAAACAAAACAACTATTCACATCCCAGTTATTTCGAGAATCCTTTAAGTTGTCCTGATTATTTTGGTCTTAAGAACTTGGTTAATGTTACGGATTTATTCCAAGCTCGTGTTCATTTGGGTCACCGATCGGCGTTACGCAATGAATACATGAAGCCATACATATACGGTTGTAGACAAGGTGTAGACATAATTGATCTACAACAGACATGTTCCTTGATGTTTGATGCACTTAATTTCGCGGCTCACATTGCCTACCGTCAAGGAATAATACTTTTTATGTACCAGAATAAACAAGTAAGTAGATCAACTCGTCTTTTGCAACTGAAGTTTTAGTTAATAACTGAAAAAATTACCATTAAGGTTGTTGTCTTAGGTAAGTTTATAAACAGATAATAATTACTATGTTGCCAGAGGTGCAGTGCAGCTGAGATAAACGAGTGTATGGTAACATGCTGATAGAGAATGTATTGTTTTAAACGATGAAAACACTAATCTCCCCTACCCGACTGCACACGTTACTTTGACACAGTAATCTGGCTTGTCTATCTTGACTTGCGAACCGAGCTATATTACATACAACTTTTCCGATTAGTGAATCTATTTAGGGCAAGAATAACAAATGTGGCAGAACAACCTGAATTCACTATATTTGGAGCTATACTGTTCGGAACATATACCTGGGAGTTCTACACGTTGTTTGGGAAGCGGCTAAACTAGAAGCAGAAGACGCAAGGTCCGACGGTGAAGTCAGCTTTGCGCCACCGTTCGTATTATTATTTCCTCATTTGTTTCCCGTCTTGTCATTTTTATTGACGTATTAACGTGTGGTAAACTGGGTCGTTGCATCCTCATCCCGCACCTTCATTTGTGGTTGCCTTATCCGTATAGGCTGATCCAAAATCTGTAGCTGAATAATTCAAGCAGTGATACTTAGAAAGTTATAGTTGTATGACCTCTGTTCTTAACATCGTACTATTACATGCTTCCGGTTTCCTATTGCAGCTTATTACTTTTTGGTTCCATGTTACTAATAGCATCCGGCTCTATGCCCATCTTTTTGTTTCGGTGTGAGTTATGGCAACTTGGACCATCATATATCCCCACAACTATATTGATTATCCACTGATTTGTACTATAGTCGAAGCCACATAGCTTACTTCGTAGCAATCTGCTCTATCACTGCTCGCCTTAATCTTAACCTACTTTATCCTTTCATTGCCAGATGTTACCCTTAATTGAAAGGACTGCTGAAAATGTTGGCGAGTATTCTTACTGCCGCAAATGGGAAGGTGGAGTTTTCACAAACTCATCGGATGTTTTTCATGACTCTGTGAGGCTACCTGACTTAGTCCTTTTTCTCAGCACCTGTAATTCAATCTGCAGACCACATTCTGCTGTACGAGATGCGGCAAAGATGCTCATCCCAACAATTGGTGTAGTTGATACGAATTCGGACCCCAGATTAATTAGCTATCCTGTGCCCGGTAACGACGATAGCCCTACATCAGTACGTTTGTTCTGTGCGTTATTCGCTGAAGCTATTACAAGGGGCAAAAAGGCCGCTGCTCGAGACCGAATATTAAAGGAGCAGCTGGACCGCCAATCAGAGTCATCAAATCGCGTGGGAACATCAGCAATCCCCTAACAATAAATTACTTACTGCTCTATAAACTTGTATATGTACATATATTTATATACATTCGATTGATAAGTTATATCTCAAAGCCCATTTATTTTCATCCATTCAGTTCGCAGTAGTAGGTAGTTTTACCAAAATGGCAACGATCATTGTGTTCAAAATAAAAGAGCTCTCATACTTTGTCGATTTCTCATCCGTGCTAAATTTATGTAACTGTGACATTGTAAGACACGTGTCTGTACAACATAATACTAATAATCACTTTAGAAATTCATCAACGCCATACCACTGGAAACCCTATGAGTTCAGTTACAACTAAAAACTATATTTATCTGATCCAGTCAAAAACATTTCATTACATGTAAGAAAAACTAAGACGAACTTAGCAGCACTGAATACGATTTGATCTTTATTTAGAAAGTATATATAACTGGTTTTACGTCTACATCCAGTCACTGAACGTTTTTTTCCTTCAATAAACCTAATTTTTCGCTTCTTCCATGATTAGATTTACCATCAATCCATTGGTAATTTCACAAATATAAGCAATGCTCCGAAAACCTTATTGATCTAATCATTTTGCCCCACTCATGTCACTTCCTTTAGGTCAGGATTTACAACACCTGGGTAGCATTGTCTTTTTATAGGACAGTCGACACTGTCTACACTACAGCTAGCGTAAGTTAGTAAAAGCCAAAATGTTTTTTTTAAGCCACTAACTTAACAAAGCTGTCGAGGCTTTCAGAATGATTAGTCGTGCTTAATTATTTTGCTCCCGATAATCAGACTGGGAGAGATATGTGCGTTCATACAGATGGCATTAAGTTTATTGCATACATACAAGGTGCAAACATCTGTAAAACGTCATTGGAGATCTCCTCACTAGCAACTGACTCTTGCTGCCTCCATATTGGTGAACGGCCGTAATGATGTGTAGGCATTCAAGCTTAGGATAAAATGACCATAAAACGTAAATGTTTGCGTTTAGTGTGTGCTAGGAAAGGAACTTTGGGATATGAATATCCGCGCGAGTTAAGCAAATGTCCGCATAAGTCATGAATTTCTATACAGAAGTGTCAATCAGTCAGTAAGAACGTAAGACTTCGTACGTACTTATATCAGTTCGAGTTGCCATACCACATCAGCACACAGATACAATGGTCGATTCAAATCTCGTAGTGATGGAGGTAGTAGTGTTTGGACAGATTAGGGTTCGAAGTTGTTCAAGGCGTTTAATTCAGTGAAATGAATTTGTAAAGAGAAAAAAAGGACATAAGAATCCAGATTAGAATTTAGAACACTAAGAGTGGATGCACCTACGCCATTGCAAAAGATTTCGAGCCATGTCACTTCAGGTCTCTAACCATCAATTACTATCGTCTCGCGAATCCCAACCAGGTAGTCTACACCCACCAACATGCTCAGTACACTTGTCAGTGACTTCACGGACTTGTGCAATGTTTTGGCGGCCCCTAGCTTTCTTCCAAATTACTCCTACACCATGAATCGTCGGTTGGGCGCACGTAACACGTCGTTGCGATACAAATGTACGACAGTACGCACCTAGTAACTAAAGTAGATCCAGTGGAACCATTAGCAGATATAGACGCCTGGCAACTATTCCGGACTTCTAACGACTGACCTTTTGTCAGCCCACATTTAGAGCCGACAAGCGTGATCCAACTTTTTGTTGCTAACCGAATACTAGTGTCACATTCTGTCCTTGGTCATACTCAGTGTCAGCCTGAGTCATACTGGTGCGGCTAGCACGCACATCGATACCTTGAGAACGACTTACCAATACTTTTCTTATCTGCCTACCCTAGTATATACCAATTTCTGTTGTCACTATCTTCCTAAGCTCCAACTGGTAAAGTGGAGCTTGAAGCTAAGGTCGGAAATAGTACTGACTTCTATTGGCTCTGCAACTGTATACTTCCAACCTAGCCTTGATTCTAATTATAAAACACAGCAAGCTGTGCTACTGTTATCTACCTCAAGCGTGTCAGTTTACGTGTATGGTTTATTAGACTGCAACGCTATGACTTCAGGATCATACTTGAAATGCGATCGTGGTAGAAAACAGTAAATAATTTAACAACTAGGGTCGAAAGTAGGCTCTGAATATGGGAACATAGGAATGTAATAGTTTAGTAGTTCGACGGTAAGGATGAGTAATCTGTTAGGCAGTCTCGAAATTTCCAGTATCTTCAACACGCCCATGATGACACCTTCAGTTTAATGTTTTCGACCAAACGATGAGCGTTGATCATGATCTATGGATCTTCGAATGTTGATTAAGTGGACCTGAATGGTTTAAACATTGGTATTGGTTTTCCAAAAACAACCAGTTCATGAAAGTATGTCAGCAAAGATTCATCATTTATCTTGCATCAATTTCACAAAATAAACTATCTGTCTCAATGGAAGAACAAGAGCAGGAACCGCTAAATACTTAAGGAGTCGAGTGTGTCAGAGCAACTTTACTTTCAGTGAATTAACTCACACTTGTTACGCAGGACGTTTTTCCATTTGTATGGTAAAATCAAATCACTATTTGTACAAAAACAAGTTGAAAGGTGTCGAACAAACATCTCACTATGATCACAACAAAGGCAAACATTAGTAGCATGAGTAGGGATAAGATACGAACCTTAGCACCCGTCGTTGAAAGTTACGCATTGATACAAATACGTTACAAAAATCATTAAGTTAGGGACGCAACACTGGTGGATCGTGTGATTTATATTTCGAAACTTCCGTGGTTCTTGGACTTATTGTTGAGAAAGATAAGTACTACGTCCTTCACATTGCACTGGCATCTATATCACCAGATAGTTTAGTGTGGTTGATGCTTATCTAATCGTTAAATACTATCATCCCTATTTCACCTCCTAAACTACTAGTCTCAGTGGTTAGTCATGTTTAGAAATCAGTCTCAGCATTTCTTGGAGATTGTGAACTGTTATTACTGGAAGTCGCGCAGAAAACATAATTACCGATCCTAGACTGCTGACGTTTAGTCACTTCAAAATAGACGTAACATGAAACAAAAGCTAAATGTCGTTTCAGCCTGCTTTTGCACCCCAACTGGACTATGCACAGAAAAAATGTGAGATCGTGATTAATTTTGCGGCTCGGTTAATACATTTTGAGGTGGTCCTTTAACAATATTGGCAGCAATCATGCTATAAGCGTACAAAGAATAACGGGTAGCAACCACATCAACTTGAGATCTCGCTATAAAAATCAAATGCATGGGATAACGCTTTACTGAATAACAGAGCATAACTCTAAACATTTGCAGGTATACAAGTTGTGAATATGCAACACGTATTCTACAAGTAGTCATCCAAAAGGTTAATACAAAGATTTTGGACTAAATAACACACAAAGATCAAACATCTTTTAATTCTAACTTCATAATCTACAGATTACAAATATTCAATATTATGAATCAACCACCCCGTATGTGCAAGTATGTTATCACAAATGGCTGGAAGAAACTTAGACACATAAATGCGACCATTTTCACAGCCAGTTTTCTAGGGTTATCAATCCTGATTGGTGCCAACAACTCACCAGGTTTGCCCTCAAGGTCCATACTGTCCATTTTCTTTTGGATCTCATTAACAAATGCAGGTTTTTCACGGGGTTTGGTCAAAAGCCCGAAATATCGTGCACCAACCTATAATTAAGAAGTAATGGACGGGGTACATGAACGTACTCTTAGCGCCATTTTGAAGGGTTAGGAATTCCGCGTCGTATTTACGCTCAAGATTTGATATAATAGAACTTATGTGCTCAACACTTCAAGTATCACTGATACTTAGATTAGCCACTTCGACAAATGAGACAAATATATTCTGTGAATTACTGATTAAAGTCAAACTATTTCTTGCACAATTAATAATCTGCGTTTTAGTTTGTAATCTCTTTCTGAATTATCGAAAATCGATCTTGTTTTCTTTTCAATATTTAAGTCGAGCAACGTAAAAGACAATTCAGGCCACTAAAAAGATCTCTAACATATTCAAATTTAGCAAACATATTCAGAAAAAATTCACAGAATTAGATATGTAGTGGCTAGTACTATGTCCAGTCCACATAGGTTATTCCAATTTCTGGACAGGTCAATGTTTTCATCCTTCTCAAGCCACATTTTGACCTTGTTGGCCATTCGCTTGTCAGTCCTGACTGTTTTTATGCGATCTTATGTGTTTTAATCACTCGGTCTATACATCACGGGTCTGTAACTTATTTTAGGTCGAACTATAATTATCCAATAACGCTTGATCAAATAGAGTTAGCACACCCACCTTCTCCACATCGTTTCATTTCGTTTCTCTGATTGTCTGTCTGGATATGCGGACGTACAAAATATACGTATTTTAAATTCATTCTCGTATTTGACATATATTATTACGTTAGTGTCTAACATGAAGTGGGTCGATAATTATATACGAGGGTTAGCAGCATGTATATTTCGATGACAATCATCACATGATTTAATTGGAGCCGGACACTGGTCTGTTAGGGATCCAATTTACGAACTAATTGTACAAGATATAAGAACTCGTGTCATATGAGTTTTATGCCACTTGGCTGAACCGTATGTTCCTTCGAATAAAATTTTGGATACCTTAGAGCTTAGATATGTCGAACTGTTCGTTATCCCTTTAACTTTTAAATATGGACCAAACAATAATAACACAGGCGACAGTATGGGCTACTAACCGTCGTTGGGCAAAGAAAAATATTTTATTCACTAGTACTATATCCATTAAGTGCTTCGTTTTAATGTTAGAAGCCTGGAAGCAGACACTTAATGAGTAATTTTGTACTGAATTCATTTTCTTCTGAATGGCTGATGAGATTCGAACTGAAGAGAAGAATATCATTTTTGCTCGAAGGATCATAGTTTAAAGCATAAAATCACTCAATGAGGAAGGAAACCACGAAATACCCAAAGTGTGAAGAAGGACTCTAAAAGTACTTACTGTTTT